TATATGTAAATACATATACAATATTACTTCAATGTTTTTCTAATGTTAGACATTTAGGTTGTTTCCAATTTGTGACTCTTTCAGATAATATTATGATGAAATTATTGCTACCATTTTAAAAGTAGAATACTATTACCTATATTGTGTTGTTTTATTATATATATCAATTAACACTTATACAACATATATATTTTATTTATATATGATTTATATAATTTATATCAATAGAAATAATTAGAATGGGCAGAAATTATGAATCTAATCTAGAGGTGCTCTAAGTGGTAAACTATAGATAGAGAGGTAAGGAGAAAGAAGGAAAGATGTAGTAAGAAAGAGAAAGAAAGAAAGGGAGAAAGGAAGCAAAAGGGGGAGAGAGAGAGAAAGAAAAAAAGAAAGAAAGAAACAAAGAAAGAAAGAAACAAGAAAGAGAAGAAAGGAAAAGAAAAGAAAAAGAAAAAGAAAGAGAAAGAGAAAGAAAAGAAAGAAAAAGAAAGAAAGAAAGAGAAAGAAAGAAAGAAAAGAAAGAGAGAGAGAAGGAAGAAAGAAAGGGAAAGAAAATAGTTTAAGCAAGGAAGCATAATGAAGGCATTCTGGGACAATGTATTTAGAAACCAGGGGATATATTTCCTTAGAAGATAGGAAGAATTATATGTAAAGCAAGAGCAAAAATTGTTAGGGATGGGTTAAATGGGTTGGTACATATTTATTATTTGGAGATGTTAGCATGAGCAGTGGAAGTCCTCTTTAGAACTGTGATTACTAGAGGAGTCTTAGAAAACTTGATGTATTAGTCAGGGTCCAAACAGGAGACAGAAAACACAGCAGTAATTTGACAGAGTCGATTTCATGTAAATAACTTTAATTAGGTATAAAGTTGCCAACAAATAAAGAATAATTCTAAGGTGTAGGAGAGGTGGAAACTGTAGAAGTTGCTGCCATCCTTATGGCTGAGAAAACAAGGAGCAAGGGAGGAAGTCACACTGCTCAGGAGGGAGTTCTGCTTCTCTGATGCTGGTATCTCTGAGCTCAGAGGTCAGGCCTCATGGGTTCTGGGACTCAGACCTCTGAGGAAGGGGTGCTGCTGCTACAGGAACAACTGCTGACTATTATGAGGACAAAGCTTTCTTGAGGTCCTGATCATGAGAACCACAAGGTCACAAAGAGCCCTCAGGAAAACACAAAAGCAAGTCCTGTCTTCTTCCAAGCATGGAGCCTCCCTGTAGCACCTTTTGTTGACCAACTTCAATGGAAAGGCAGCCAAAGCACAAGTTTGTAGTCCCAGCCTCAGCATTTCAAAATAGAGTATAGAAGGGTGGCTTTGAAGTTGAGAAATATCTTAACAACAGGCACCATTCATATGTTCTCACATGGATTAAATAAGAGGAAAATTGACATTTATTTAGGATGAGCCTCTCAGCCAAAACTCCTTCTTCACTTCTTGGATTTTGGAAATGGAAAAGCTTAAAACTAAAAGATTCCAAGCATCATCTTTTGATGCTTTTTTAAAAAAGGGAGCTACATTAAAAACAGCACATGGGTCAGAGTTCCTACTTCACCACTAGATTATCTGCTATGACCCTAAGTAAATTATTTCCTTCTCTTAGACCCAGTTTACTCTCTAATCCAATGAATCTATGTCATTGTATCTAATAAAGGTTTCAAGAGAATCAAAATGAGGTATCACACAAGTGCTTTGTCAATCACCAAATCATTGGTTTTCTTTCCAAATCCAGATAGTTTCTAATATGACAGGATGAACTTCAGCAATAGCTCTTGTATTTATTTTATATTTATTCTTATTATAAGCACCTTAGTTTACTTGCATATTACATAAACCTTTCCGAGCAGACTTTAATATCTGACTTTATTTTCTCTCTTACGTGTATTGCAAACATTGATGGATTTTTGGATTAATCTTATATATTATTGATTGAAATGCATCAATATCTTATCTCCCTATTGCTCAGTAACTTCAGTCTACACTGCCCAAGTTGTGATCACATACTATTTCACAACTGTTTTACATCCTATTACATCTTCATCTCTACCTACATGTGCTAATGTCTTTCTCCACAACATATTTTTGTTTAATTGAAAATAGGCATATTCTCCTTTGACCGTCTACAACAGAAAAGTTTATTCTGTGTGAGCACACGGTGCATGCATGTTTGTATGGAAATCTATTTTATAGCATATTATGTCATTTGTTGACAACATTCTCCTTAAGACGTGGTAAGCCTTCAGGGATTAGAAGTCATTTTTGTACCAGTGCCTCTTGCAGTACTTTGTAGGTCATAAACAGACAATAGACTTGTTGCATAATGTATTAGAGGAAGACTTGGCAGAACTTTGTGTTCAGTGTGGTACAAGGGATGAAGGAGACAAAGAAACCAAAGATGACTCATAGTTGTGAGCCCAGGAGTGTTGAGGACTTCATGTAAGATATAAATTTGGAAAAGATGGATTAGAGGAAGGTCATGGACATTTGTAAACATGCTCAGATTTAGTTTTAGGAGAATGCTTAATTGAATTTTATTCCATTATTAAACTTTTTTTAGAGATGAGGCAAAAGAACAATAAGCAATGTTATGGTTATAGATTTATACCTTAGAGGTTGAAATTTAAAACAAATAAGTAACTGAATTTCTTAAAGCCTAAGAGAGTGCCATTCACAAAATAAAATTTATTAAACAGATACCATGTGCAAGGATACATTGGTGAATACAATGGACAAAGTTCTTAACTTGTGAAGCTTGCAGATTTACTGCTGTAAATGGGTAGAGGCAAGATAAAAAAAATAAAACCCATAAGTATGGTTTCTTTCATATTCAGTCATTCAATAAATATTTGTTGAGTGTCATTCATAAACTAGTTTTTGGGCTATATTCTTGGGGATATAGCAATAAATATATCAGAGAGTTTACGGTCTTAAAAAACAAGGAATATAAATTTGATGAGTATTATGAGGTGCAATAGAGTAGTGTGCTTTGAGAACAGTTGTCATGGGTACTCAACCTAGAGTAGGCTGTTAGGAAAGACCTCTTGGGAGAATGAGGCGTAGGGATGCATCTGGTGGGAGAAGTGTATTTTGGCAGAGAACATCACGATTGAAGAACCAAAGGTGAGAAATAGTATATCAAGTTCAGGAGTGTAAATAGCACAGAATGAAAACATGGTAGGGATGCAGTGTAGTGTGTGTGAAAGGACTAGAGATACAGGTGTGCTCACATAATGCGGAACTCTGTAAATTATGTTACTAACTCAGAATTTTATTTTAAGCATGTTGTTAAGCCACTTGTAGCTATGAATAATTGATAGAATAAATTGAACTCAAAGAAGCTATCACCAGAATTTGGCTCTGATTTCCAAAATTACTACCTTTAACTGAATGGTGTCTACTTTCCTTTCTCTCTTCTTTGATAACATTCTAGTAAGATCTCTCACCCTCCAAATTTTAAAATTGCTTTATTGAATTATAACCCAATTCAAAACTATATACAAATTTAAATTGTGCAATTTAATACATTTTGACATATTTACATTCCCGTGAATCCATCATCACAACCAAGACAATGCACACATGCATCACTCCTTAAAGTTTTCTCATCCTCTGTGTCATCCTCCTTTTCTCACCCCCCCTTACCCTACTTTAATTTCACCAGCCCTGATCTGCTTTCTGTCACGGTAAATTGGTTTTCAAATTCCAGAGTAGTGTGTAAGTGAAATAAAACACGTTCATTTGTTGTTCTTTCTGTTTGTCTTCTTTCACTTAGTATAATTATTTTGAGATCCATCCATGCCTTTGTATGTATCAATAGTTCATCCCTTTTTTATAGACCAGCAGTATTTCATTCAGTGTACAACACTTTATTTATCCATTCACCTGCTCTGAAGATTTGCTTTTCCTCCCACACTTGGGTTACCAGTACTCAGCTGAAGACTTGAGGGACCTCACTACAGCTATCTAGAACTCTTTGTTTGCTCAGCTCTTTCTTCTCCAGTATTCTGTCTAGAGAGAGCCGGACGACTTGACATCCCTGGACCCTCCAATCTGTCTTAAATGAGGGAAACCACTGGGCTTTTTTAGTTTCCTCTCCCTGCCTCGCCATAGGGACCTAGAACTCTCTCTTTGCTTAGCTCTTTCTTCTCCAGTACTCCCTCTAGAAAAAGTGACACACGATGACATCACTGTACCCTACAGTCTGTCTTAATTTAGCGGGACGGCTGGGCTTTTTTCAGATTCTTCTTCCCGCACAGTGACCTGTATACTCTCTATAGATTGTAAGCTAGGGGTTATTGCACAAATTACTTTATTTTTTCCCTCCTCAGTGAGGAATCATGGTCCTGGGCTGCCTGATATCCAACATCTAAAAACTGTTGTTTCATATATTTTACCTGGTTTTGTTCAGAGTTTCCATTGTAAATGTAAATCCAGTCCCTGTTTCATCATCATGGCTAAAAGTGGAAGTTTCTTTTTGGTAACATTCAGTTATAAAAGTCTTATATTTATAACTATGACTTATTTTAATGTATTAAAGATAGAGTCGAGTCCAACAACAAAATGCCAGCCTCTTGTTCCTTTCTATGCCTCACTCCTCTTTTTAACGGCTGCCTCACTCCTGGCTCAGGGATCTGCGGTGGGAAAGAAGTCATCGTCTGTTTTCTCACTCTTCCTCTGGCTCTTTCAGTTATCATAATTTCTCAACTGTGGACTCTTCTGAGGCTGGAGCAGGGGAATGGAAGCGAGAGGAAAGGCGGGTGGCCTTTAGATAATTTTTACTATTTTATTTGTACTCTTTGGTTTGATGCCCTTGATATTTGCAAAAACTCTTTCATGAGTTGCATTTCTGGGTTCTTTGGAGGCCTCACAGAAACTGCCAAATGCCACTTTCCACACATCTAGGAAGTATACCTTCCGACAGGACGTTTGCAAATGCTTCCTCCTCCAGCTGCTTGGTAGATATGTAACCACATTCACCCTTAATGTCTCTTTATCTCACCAGGCACCCTACTGAGATGAGTTCTTTTTAAAAGAGCTACTTTCCATGGCGAATCCATTTTGGCGAATAGAAAATTCATCATGCTTACCACACCAAGTAGCAGGAAGGCAGGCTTGCCAGCCGTCCCCTCCTTCCTTGCCCTAGTCTCCAGTACTGTTCCAGCTGGCCTGTAACCTCCAGAATCCTCCCACGGATATGCAGGTACGAGTTTCTAAATAACGCACACACACACCCTTCCTCTCCCTAAGGGGATGCATCTCAAGTTATCCCCAATTGTCTTCATATTTCTTTAGTCTGGTAATCTGCATATATATCTTAGTAATTTAGTAAACATTCAGGAACAAAGGACAATGGCAGTCCCTATTTTTTGCAAGCAACTCAATCTCCCAGATGTTTTATTGTCCTTAGCATTTTCCTCACTTGGCTTGAGAGGCTGATAATACCCCTCTCTTATTTTTCCCTTAAGGAAGGGTAGGATTAATATTAAAGAATATGTTAATATTAAAGAATATGTTAATATTAAAAATATGTTAGTCTCCTATTAAAATAGATATTTGAGTTTCTAATGGTTGTTTCATTCTCTTTGCTGTGTTTTAACAAGTCCTGCATGAGTGTATCTAGCAACTTTCTTTAGAATGTGATTATGCTGATTCATTCCCACCCAAAATTCAAGACATAAGGAATTTTGTCCTTTAACATCTTGTTGAGACTGGATCAAATATTCCTTTTGGAATGATCACTATAGCTGCAGTGTGGGAAATAGAAGAAAGGGAGGACAAACAGGACATTATTTATTTACTAATACTTTGTTCTTAGCTTTGTTGAGGTATGATTAACACCTATAAATTGTATATATTTTAGGTGTACAATGTGATGCTTTTGCTAAATGTATACATTGTGGAATGACTACCACAATCGAGTTTACATTTCCAACAACTTGCCTATTCATTTTTTGTGTGGTGGGTCGGGGGCCAGAGAGGTGAGAACACTTGAGATCTACTTTCTTAGCAAATTTCGAATGTAGGACACATTGCTATATTAACTATAGTCATCATGCTGTACATTAGATCTACAGACTATTTGTGTTATAACTGAAAGTTGGTATTCTTTGGCCAATATCTTCTCTTTTCTCTCATATTTAAAAGACTATGGTTTATAATAATTCCAGGTATCAAGCTGAAGTTACTCCTGAAAGATATGGAGAACAGTTTATTTTTTTTATTTTATTTTTATTTATTTATTTTTTTGTTGTTAAATGCTTCAGAGACACTGCAACTGGGATCTAAAATCCTGGGGAGCCAGCAATAAGGGTGTTGAGTCTGCTACTGGTAGAGACAATGATTGGAGGTGGAGGTCTCCTTTAATTGTGTCGAAGACAAGGAGATTTATTCTATTTGTCTTGGTTCTCCTGTGGCTCATAGTCCAGGTTCTCTAATTTCAAATTTATGGGACCAAACCATTAACTCTCGCAGGAAGTATGAAAACCATCTCGAAGGGTATTTCTGGCCTACCAAGGAGGGTATGTTAGATGTAGAAAATTCCTCCTGTATTGTTGAAACCAAATTTAAGAGAAGCCTTAAATTATCTTCTTAGCACACGTTTTTTTATACCTCAGGGGAAATAGATCATTTAGACCCGTCTTGGAGCAGTTCTTGGGGCATGGCTTGGCATGTTTGTCTCTTATTAGGCTCCATTTTTCTAAATCTTAGTTAAAAAGAGGGATGAATTTAGATAAATCAAATTTCTATTCAAATGCCATCTCCTCAGAAATATTTTTTCTAATAAAAGAGCAGCTATCATTTTTTTATCCCTTTATCCTACATTATTTTCCTTTATAGCTCATCTTATTACCTGACATTATTCTTTATATTTTTATATTTATTTATTGTCTATCTCATTTAAATGTTAGTTTTATGAGGATAGGGAATTACTGTGCTTTATGAGGATAGAGACTCAGTTGCTTCTGTATCTCCAGTGCCTAGAACAATGCCTGACATATAATAATCGTTCAGTAAACACTTGTTAAATTACTATGTTGAGTAGAAGACTGTACTTTTGTTGAAGTTCTCTCTCAGCACAACATAATTTCCATTTTTTTTATTATTACTATTATTTTTGAGATGGAGTCTTGCTCTTTCGCCCAGGCTGGAGTGCAGTGGCACCATCTCAGCTCACTGCAGGCTCCACTCCTGAGTTCATGCCATTCTCCTGCCTCAGCCTCCCGAGTAGCTGGGACGACAGGTGCCCACCACCATGCCTGGCTAATTTTTTGTATTTTTCATAGAGACGGGGTTTCACTGTGTTAGCCAGGATGGTCTCGATCTCCTGACCTTGTGATCTGCCCGCCTTGGCCTCCCAAAGTGCTGAGATTACAGGCGTGAGCCACAGGCGCCTGGCCATTTCCATTATTTCTTTGTAAGAATTCGATGCTGAGGATTTCCCTTCACAGTGTTATCTAACCCTTGTATACAGGAAACAGCCCCAGTACTTGGCATGACATTGCAGCTAGAGATGGGATCCAAATATCTAAGGGGGCATTGTGGAAAGAGACAGTTTATCACAGGGACCCATGCCCAGGAAAACAAATAAAGAGTCCAGTTATCTGAGTTGGTGTTCTCAAAACAGGAAGGGCTCTTTTACTAGAGTCGGAACATATAAACCAGTCAAGGCGGCTTGATTATGAGCCACTTTAATACTGAGCCAAACGTTGATGTTGCTTTGGACTAGAGACTGGGTTGTTAACGACCTTTGCACGAAACTAATCCTGAAGTGGAAGGTGAAGTAGCTCCACCCGAGGGAGAAGGGAAGATGAACTGTGAAGAAGCAATAGACGCTTCGGGCTTTCATGTAACTGTGGCAACAGGAATCCCAGTCAGTTTGCCATGATGTTGAAATTGATGGTCACCAAAATGATCAAAAAGGACTTGCTTCACTAAAGTGACCAGAAAATTTCAGTCAAAATTATCAATTGGGCAACACTTTTAAAACATGATAGAATGGCCATTTGTATGACTAAAAAAGTATTTATTTTTAAAAGTTCCAGGGAACATTTCTTTCTGGTGTTCAGGGTCCATCGAAAAATCAACGACTGCTTAGCAGCAATACAGTTGGAATTAAAATCCCATTAAATCTCACTTTGTGAGTTTCCCTCATTAAAGTCTCACTGTACTTCTCAGTAAATACTTATTAGAGGAATCATTAGGTGAAGTCCCAAATTATTAATGTTTGAATATAAATACCAAATATGCTACAGCGAGTATCCAAATGTTTCACGCAGTGTCATTAATTCAACTGAATTAGTCTGGAAAATGTCATCAGACACATCTTCAATGTCAGGGAGGGCAGCAGGAGGGGCTGCTTCTCTCCCTGATGATCATGAACTTCTTTTTCCTTGTCCTCCTACATTTACTCTAATTCAAGCAAAACGGCATTCATTTTTGGAGAGTTACGAACAGGATTATCTCAAAGATGCCTTTTAGTCTCAAATCCCTTGTACCTTTAATTGTGCTTTTCAGAGTTCTCTGTTTTCCTACCAACACTATCAGAGTCCTGTGTGTGAACTGAGGTGAGGATTCTGGTCAGGCAGACACTTCAGTACATCAGAGCAACTCTACTTTTATCTCTTTTTTATACTGGAATTCGCAGTATATTTTCATTTGATGACCGTGTTTTGTGTATAAAAGCAAAGCATTTTGGGGGCAAAGAAGATACAGTGGAACTGGGTACAAGCCAAGGAATCTCTAGATAAAAGACTTTTTTGTTGTTATTCCAAAGGTCATTTAAATATGGTTAGGTCTATCACCTCTATTATTGACTAATATTTAAACATATTTTGTCATATCCCTCAATTATCAATGCATAAGTACCACTTTTCTGAGGAAAGGAATATTGATGTATCTCAGCCTGCTACTTAAGTGAGATAATTAATGTATCTCTGGAATTATCTATGCATGGTAGACCTTGATATTTGTCTGCAAAGGATAACCAAAGTCATTCCCAGGAATAAGTTACGTATGTTTAAAAAACATATTGAGGAGACTAATTTCGTGGAAAAAGCTTCTTCATCATATTAACACAATACATTTAATTATCACAATGAGAATGCAAAAAAAAAAATGGTATTTGAAGAGGGAAATTAAAAGGGTGAGGGACATTCAGAATCCAGAATAAATCACAACGTGAGCCCAAATAAGGTAAATCTTTTGAGGAAGTTATAGTTCAACAATAATTTGATATGACACTTTTCTTTTTTTTTTTTTCTTGAGATGGACTCTTGCTCTGTTGCCCAGGCTGGAGTGCAGTGGCGCGATCTCAGCTCACTGCAAACTCTGCCTCCCAGGTTCAAGCAATTCCCCTGCCTCAGCCTCCCGAGTAGCCGGGATTACAGACATGCACAACCACACTCGGCTAATTTTTGTATTCTTAGTAGAGACAGGGTTTCACCGTGTTGGCCAGGCTGGTCTTGAACTCTTGACCTCATGATCCACCCACCTCGGCCTCCCAAAGTGCTGGGATTACAGGCGTAAGCCACTGCGCCTGGACCAAAACTTTTCAAATATAGTATCCAACTTGGCATTAATATTAATCTTAGGTTCCGTACCTTGGGAAGAATATGAATTGAAATAGGAGATACATATTTGGGTAATGATAGAACAATGATTATTGTGGCAGGGAACCTCTAATTTAAGAGAAACATTGAGCAGTCTGAGTTAAAAGACAAAGAAGCGGGGTTCTGAGCTAAGCTTCACCAACCGTTACTGACCATACACAATTCACATTCCCTCTCTAGGTTCCAGTTTTTCTATCATTTGAAGATGTTGAATTAGTGATCTTTAAAGTTCTTTCGGTTATAGCACTATACAAATGAAAATAAAATAAAAAGCTTGGACTCAAAGCACATGTGGTATCCCAATGAATTGATTTCTGACAAAACCCAGTTGAGTTAAAAAAAAAATGTGATTTTATAGCAGCCTGTGTTCAGGGGGCAAACAATTTTTAAACCAGAAGATAAATAGAAGGAGTGATTGTAAGAGGTTATTAAGAAAACTGAAAAGAATACATTTGGCGTTAATGAGGAAAGTGAACACTGCCTCTTGAATTATTTTTGCTTGAGAGGAGAGTGGCCTTTGGCTTCTCACCTCTCTTTTGGTTGACTTTAATAACTTGGATTTAAGTCCCATCAAAGTTGAATATAAAATTTATAGAAAATTCCACTGCACAAAAAAAAAAAAAAAAAAAAAAATCCTTCCACAAATTGCCACTAGGTATGATAGTTTACCACTAGGTATGATAGTTTGCCATTTGAGACATATCATTGAACATTCTTAGTTGCAAACAACAAAATTCACTCCAATAGTTTTAGTAGGAAGTGATTTGTTTGAAGTCTATTGGCAGCACCAGAAAACCTGTATAGGCCAAGGGGACTGGGTTAAAATGCTAAATATCTAGGAAAAATATGCCTAAGGAACAGCTGTCCAGGAGTGATGCCAAGGGAATGCTGTGGCAAAACAGCATTTTCATCAGTTGATCTTTACAGCTGATTATGCTCAGAATTTTATGGTTCGGTATTGCCCCCCCTTGTGGATTTGAGTATTTTTCTCTGATTCTGGCCGATTAGACACAGTCTGTATTGTCCTCACCATAGTGAGGTGAAATCCATGTTGTTGAGCTTATATATAACTTACCTTCCTGTCTGTAGTCAGGAGCCCTTTGAGCAAATACTAAAATACTTGAAGAAAGAGACTATGACTACAGTACAATTTTCACATTTTTGTAACACTACTTCAGAGGAATCTTTTTTTGGTGAGTATTCACATAAGATATAACTATTCTCACCTTTGGCTCATATCTTTTTCTCAGTCTTCTTTGTCAATAATTATCCAATTTTATTCCTTCCATGTGACTATCCATTGGGTGAAAACTTTAGCCATTGCCAATCAATTGGTAGATCTCTACCTCTGATCCTATCACTGGATGTACCGTAGTTTGTTTAAACATTAATGCATTGAAGGACATTTGTGTTGCTTCCAATTTTTGTCTATTCCAAATAAAGCTCCTGTGAAACATCTAATGTAAATTTTTATAGGATGCCATGTTTTTTGGCATTCTATAATGTTTCTCTGGAATAACTGTTCCCAAATGCAATTGTTTGTTATATGATAGTTGGATGTTTATTTTGTTTGTGTTTTTCTTTTTCTGTCTTTTTTTTAAGAAATCGCCAAATTGTTTTCTGAGTGACCTATTTCTCTACACCCTCACCAAATTTGGTGTTTTCACTATTTTTGGTTTTAGCCATTCTGATAGGTGTGCAGTGATCTCAATGTGATTTTACTCTACCTTTCCCTAATCACTAATAATGTCAAACATCCTTTCATGTACTTGACATCTGTCTATACTATTTGATGCAATGTCTGTTCATGTATTTTGCCCAATTTATTATAAGATGTTGAATTACATGAATGCTTTATATATTCTAGTTACTAGTTTTTTCATTGGATACATGATTTCAAATATTTTTTCCAGTCTATAGAATATGCCTTTACTTTCATCACATGGTCTTCTATAGAACAATAGTTTAAAAAATTGATGAGGGCTGGGTGCGGTGGCTCATGCCTGTAATCCCAACACTTTGGGAGCCCCAGGTGGGCAGATAACGAGGTGAGGAGATTGAGACCATCCTGGCTAACACGGTGAAATGCCGTCTCTACTAAAAATACAAAAAATTAGCCAGGTGTGGTGGCGGACGCCTGTAGTCCCAGGTACTTGGGAGGCTGAGGCAAGAGAATGGCGTGAACCCGGGAGGAGGAGCTTGCAGTGAGCTGAGATCATGCCACTACACTCCAGCCTGGGTGACAGTGTGAGACTCCGTCTCAAAAAAAAAAAAAAAAAATTGATGAGATCTAACTTATCATTTTTTCTTTTATGGGTTGTGCTTTTGATGTCAAGTTTAAGTACTCCTTGCTTTTAGCCCTGCATTCTAAAATTAGTCTCTTATTCCTTGATTTGTGATGACTTGGTTGAATTAGTTTTATCAAATTTCCAGAGAAATTTACACTTTATATCCATCTGATGAGGGGAGAAAGGACATGAGAGGAGTGGAAAACCATGGGCAATGTACTGTGTCACAAAGAGCACAGTTTTGGGTGTCAGATAGACTCAAGAGTGAATTGATCAGTTTGGCAACACATTGGCTATGTGTCATTGGTTGATTTACTTCTGTGTATATCAATTTTTGATTATCAAAACAGGAATAAAGTATCCGTATCACAAGTTGGCATTATAGATTAAATAACAGAGCATTTGGCATTTGATATGTACTCAATAAAGAGAAAAAACAAGCTGTCGAGATTAATATAATTTATCATACAACAAAGCATGTGTTGGCATTTATTGGTGTAGGGGAATTTAGTTGTAACACCTTGTATTCTTATATCGCCATTCAGGGTACGGAAGAAGACAGAAACTTGAGGTATTATTTTGAAGTAAGAGAGCATTTCTTTGGATAGCAATAGGGAACAGAAATCACCAAAGAAGATATAAACAAAAACATAAGCGTGTTGGGAGATGTGTTAGATATAAGCAGTACTCCTTAACGTCTTGCATTCTTCTCTGTTCTGGTCAAACAGAAGACCTCACCTTCCAGCCCTTTGTTTTGGTGGTGACGTGTGACAATATTTGGCTAATGGGCAGTGAAGAGAAATGGCATGTATCACTTATGAACTGAGGGAGCAGACCACTCTACATCATCCTCTAGCTCTCTTTTCCCTTACTGTGGCATCCTAGAAACTATGTGACATGTTGGAGCCACAAGTTAGAAGTAGGTTTTATTTCTATGATAGTCACCAGTGGAAGGGAGCTGCCTATGGGAGGGTCTTCAGAGGACTTTGAGTCAGTAAGAAATAAACTTTTCTGTGTGAAGTCAGTGGCATTTCAGTTTATTTCCACAGCTTGAGCTAGCCAATTCTTACTAACATAGAATTTTTTTTGAGACAGAGTGAACTGGGCTCACTGCAACCTCAGCCTCCCGGGTTCAAGTGATTCTCATGCCTCAGCCTCTCAAATAGCTGGGATTAAAGGCACATGACAACATGCCTGGCTAATTTTTGTAATTTTTTTTTTTTAGTACAGATGGTGTTTCCTCATGTTGGCTAGCCTGATCTCAAACTCCTGACCTCAATGATACATCCACCCTGGCCTCCCAAAGTGCTGGAATTACAGGCATGAACCACCATGTCCGGCCCAGAATATTTTCCAATAATGGTCACAGCTTAGTCTGGCAGTGCTTCTTACTGCAACTCAACAGCAGGATACATCTTAATATGTTTACATTCAAATGCTCCACTTTTTGGAAGTGAACTTGTGGAACTTAAATGTGGGTTAAAAATAATTTATAGCAAATTAAAATAGTATTATATATTAAATATAATATATATCACAATATATGGATTAAATTATTTTTATTTAAATTATCAATAAAATATGTTGCAAACAATAGTGACCAATTAATTTTAATGTAATCTTTCGTGCTGATATTTTTAATCTTCACAAATATGAGACTGCATCTTATCTCATTTAATATTAATGAAGTTTTTATCTTTTTGTTTTGCATTTGGTGCTAGTAAGAACTGAGAATTCTAATTTGAAAGATTTACTATTGAAAACTACAAAATATATTTCACTTTGTTAAAATATTTGTAGGATTTTCTTCTTAATATTAATCTGGAATTAAAAAGGGGATTTACTTACTTGAAGATCATTATCTGTAGAAACAGATTTTTTTCCTGTAATATGAAAATCAAAATCTATCATCATTCTACTTGAAGAAATTATTTTTTGTCTCATCTTATTTATTTATTTAAGACAGAGTCTTACTCTGTCACCCAGGCTGGCGTGCAGTGATGTGATCTCAGTTCACTGCAACCTCTGCCTCCCATGTTCAAGTGATTCTTCCACCTCAGCCTCCCAAGTAGCTGGGATTATAGGTATAAGCCACCACGCCTGGCTAATTTTTGTTTTTTTGGTTTTTTTTTTGTATTTTCAGTAGAGACGCGGTTTTGCCATGTTGGCCAGGGTGGCTAATCTTATTTTCCTATACCTAAGAATGACCAATATTTTTTTTTCTTACAATGATACTAACTGCTGTGTAATTGAAGGAAAACTAATTTGTACCATAATTGGATATAATAAAATGTTAAGACTTTTTTCTATTACTCTACCTACAAAATAACTGATTTTTATCTGAAAAGCGAGTAGTTTGTCTTTAAAATTTTAAATCCATCCGAAGACTTTCTTATCTGTCTTAACCCTAAAAGTGAATTATAAATACTTGCTGAATACTTATTAACATTTATTAATAACATTTCAATCTTTAAGTATTTGCAAAAAATATTTTCTACCTTCTTTTCAAATATACTATTATTTACTAGATATTAGCACATGTATGTTCTAGATATAACATTTTACTCCTTTGGAGAGCTATCTTAGTTTGGTGTGCAAAAATGAATGTTCATATTAGCCATTCATAATTTAGCAGTTATTTAAATCTATATGTTTTAAAGGTATTAATTGTTTATAACTTACATTACTTCTGTAGTGTGGTCAAATTAAGTAGCTAGAGGTTGGGTAACTTCTTTATTAAAAAAGAAAAAGTGTGATCTTCGTGCTTCCTTGTGATATTAGGACTCTTACCTGCAGACTTCTTTTTGTTACAGAAAAAAAGATCCGAATACTGTCAGCCTGGAGTGGAATCGAATGAGCTGTGTATGAACAGCTGTCCTAAGCAGTTAGATTCCCTGAGCCTTTTGCCAAAAGATAAGTATTTCATGCCCTGGAAAGGGAGCCTGGAGCTTAACAATATAAAAATTGGAATTAGTTGAGAGTACTACAACATCTGAGGATCTCCATGATCTGAAACTAACTTATTTTGTTTACCACTTCATTATATGACGCTTAGCATTACATTCATACTGCATGAGACTATTCCCCATTTTTGACATAACACTGTACTTTTACTCACTTCGGGCACCCTGGCTTATACCATCAGCCTTACGCTCTATTACTTTTCCCTCCTTCATCCCTAAATGTTCAAGCTCTACGTCTTCATTTGGGCCTTAAAGAGTAAATAGGTATTCTATATATTGAAACCACACCTTACAATACTTTACAATACTGAAGAGTGGTTTAGATAACACTTGCTCTCTTGCTTTCATGTTAATGTTACTATTCTGGGGGGATATTTCTGGATTGGTTTTCTTGATAGATGAAATGGCCTGTGAATGCAGTCAGTGAGTTGGAGTTCATGAAGGTATTCAGGGTTGAATATCTACAAAGTCTGCTTTTTCTGCCTTGGAGAACTGTGGTTTCATGATTGAGTTTGTCACATGGTGAATAAGCAAAGAGAAAACAATCTTCATGAAGTTTCAGCTTCATTGCCAAAGAGTGGTTTTCAAAATGGCAATTTGCTGCTTCCATGTTGTAGTGTAACATTTTGTTTACCCTCAGTTGTTAAAATCAATTGCGGTTGGTTGCAATTCCTGAGGGGCCTACCTTTATAATGTAAGGTTTGAATAATTTGTCAAAAGTGCTAAGCTCTAGATTTATAGTTTCAAAAAAAAAATAAAAAAAAATCCTTTGATTTTCCCAAAGTGATACTATGAACCTTTGAAATGGCTTGACTTTGCCCAGGTTTCCCTGCAGAGCATACAGGCTTTGTGGTCAGTATTTTGATCCCCAAAGGAATGCCTTTTGGAAATGCCAAGCTAGCACAAATGCTGAAGCTTATAAGTGCCTGCTGCTCTACTACTACTGTTGTGTGTCTTGTTGAAGTTTCCTTTATGTACTTCAAAGACATTGAAACAAATCAGAAAACTGTATCAAGGGGTGAGGGAAAATAGCAGGAGAGATTACATTTCATTGTTTCTTTTATTCTTCAGTTCTAGTTCCTAGACTTTCAGACAAGTAGAGTGAGATGAAAGATGGTGCCTGCTGTTTTACTGAAAGAGTCTTGGTTCCTGTTGCTCAGGTACAAGCTCTAGGATTAATATATCATAGCTATATCTTGAGAATGTCTTAGTTCTCTTCTGGCAGACAGAAATGCAGCTGTGCATTTTTAGGGCATGCAACTGGGATAGGAGAAAAAAATAAAAATGACTTTAGGCTTATTGTGGCCAAAGAAAGACTTCATAAGGAAACAAAAAGTTTTAAGGCTTTATTGGATTATTTTCACTCTTGTTGTTGTGTATATTTGGGAGCTTATTGAGCTGTTGTTGGGAGAAGCATGTTGGACCAGAAATCCATAGAACTGGGGATTGGAATTATGGCTTCAACATTCTCTAGCTCTGTGAAGTTGGCCAAATTACTTAGTTTCTTTACTTATCTATTCTCCTTTATAATAGCACAGATTTGATAATCTCAATATTTTATACTTTACAGGACAATTGTGAGGCTGAAGCATTGAAGAAATGTAAGAAATTATTGGAATTGCCTCACAGAAGATGGGCCCAGCTGATCTTTGGTACTTTTTCCAACATTTATATAAACACATTATCTCACCATGTGTTTGCTTAAGTAAGATTGCAGATTTCAGTAGGCATACTCACCAAATTGTGAATCTGGAACTGGGAGAGTAGATTGGTCTGTGATTTTCCCTGGAGTCATAGGAACAGAGTGTTCAAATTTCTACCTCGTTTACGTTTTGGATTGGGTACCATGTGCTAAAGGAATGTGCAGTGGCCTGAGAGACTCCTGCTATTTTCAAGAAGGTTCTACCTGAGGAGTTAACTACAGAATAGTAACACAGTGGATTAATATGGTACTTTTACTTTTCTCCTTTTTATTATTTCCTTCCTTCCTGCCACAAACAGCTGTGCACTTACAATCTATCTATATGAACAAAAGAATTATTCGTTCTAGTACTCACATTTGCTTGTAGGAGTTCGAATTTTGTTAGCATGAGTTTAAGTCTTTAGGAAATTGGATAGGCAATATCCACTTAATTTTTCATTTTATCTATTCATTGAAGGAAAGGCACTATATTTCAGTAGAAACAACAAGAAAATATGAATACGATTTTGGTGCACTGATTTCTTGTTTGGCCATTTTTCTTTCTGCTGACGAAAGAGAGTCTGTAAAGAGATGAAAAGATCTATTTGGAATAGACTATGTCTTATGCAATGGAAATACCTTTTATTTTGGCATTGAGGGTGAATGGAGAAAGCATCTACTGTGTTTGCATCACACCTCTATGAAATAAAGCATGGCATAGTATTTATGCCACTGTCTTATTCCATTCAGTGTTGCTATAAAGGAATATCTGAGGATGAAAAGACATTTATTTGGCTCATTCTGCAGACTGAGCAAGAAACATGGCACCAGCATTTGCTTCTGGTGAAGGCCTCAGGCTGCTTCCACTCATGGTGGAAGGTAAAGGGGCCTGTTTTGTAGAGATCACACAGTGAAAGAGAAAACAAAGAGAGCAATAGACATGCTGGGCACTTTCTAACATCCGACTCTAGCAGGAACTAACAGAGTGAGAACCCACCCACCACCCCAACACTCCCTCCAGGGAAGACATTGATCTATTCATGAGGAATCAGTGCCCAGCACCCAAACACTTATTAGACCCCACTTCCAACATTGGAATCAAATTTCAACATGGGATTTGGAGGAAACAAACATCAAAAACATAACACCTACTGATATCTTCTGTTCTTATAATCAGGATTCTCACTCTGAATAGACAATAAAGAAAGAAGAGAAAACCCATACCACCAACCTAAGCCGTTTAACCCAATTTTTAATTTAAAACTATATGAATAAGTAAACATAAATCAATTAGCAGAAATTTCATCAAAGCTAGCAACACAAAAGATAATGAAAAAGGGGAAAAAGAAAAGAAAAAAAACAACTAACTCTGGATAAATCAATAAAATTCATGGAAGAAAATAGAACTTTAAATGCATTTCATTTAAAAGCTTACAGCAATCCAATGATTTTTTTTTTCCATCAAATAAACCAACATGCTCCTTTTAGAAAGGAGAAGTCTTCAAAAAGGAAGAGTTAATGTCAATTTAAAATATTGGCCAAAATTTTTAAAGTTAACAGTAGAACTGGAGAAAAGTTCAAGTAAATCTTGTAGAATATTATTTAAATGAAAATGTAAAGTTTGACAGAAAAGATGAAAGACAGAGAGAGACAACATCCATCTAAGTGAAAACAAAGGGGGGAAGTTTTGAAGAAACCTCAGAAGAAATACATACAGTGCTAAGCAGGGTTAAAGCAGAAAGATAGAATGCAGCAAAAACAAAAAAAATTAAAAATTGTTTCCATAGGTTATTTGGGAACAGGTGGTGTTTGTTTACAGGAGTAAGTTCTTTAGTGGTGATTTGTGAGATTTTGGTGAACCTGTCACCCGAGAAGTATACACTGCACCCAATCTGTAGTCTTTTATCCCTTACCCTCTTCCTCTCTTTTCTCCCTGAGTCCTCAAAGTCCATTGTGTCATTCTTATGCTTTTGCATCCTCATAGCTTAGTTCCCACTTATGAATGAGAACATACAATATTGCTGTGGGTTTGTCTTCTATATAGAAGACTTTTATTACATTGAATTATGTCCCTTGTGTGCTGATTTTGCTGAGAGTTTTAATCATAAAGGGATGTTGGATTTTTTTCAAATGCTTTTCCTGCATCTATTGAGATGATCATGTGATTTTTGTTTTTAATTCTGTTTATGTGGTGTATCACATTTATTGACTTGCCTATGTTAAACCATCTCAGCATCCCTAATGTGAAACCCACTGGATCATGTTGGATTATCTTTTTGATTTGTTATTGGATTCAGTTTGCTAATATTTTGTTAGGGATTTTTGTATCTGTGTTCATCAGGGATATTGGTCTGTAGTTTTCTTTTTTGGTTATGGCCTTTCCTGGCTTTGGTATCAGGGTGATGCTGGCTTTATAGGATGATTTACGGAGGATTCTCTCTTTATCTTGTGGAATAGTGTCAACAGGATTGGTACCAATTCTTCTTTGAATGCCTAGTAGAATTCTGCTGTGAATCCATCTGGTCCTGGACGTTTCTTTGTTGGTAATTTTTTTTTTGTTGCAATTTTAATCTCGCTGCTTGTTATTGGTCTGTTCAGGGTATCTAATTCTTCCTGAGGTAAGCTAGGAGACTTGTATCTTTCCAGGAATTTATCCATCTCCTCTAGGTTTTCTAGTCTGTGCATGTAAAAATGTTCATAGCAGACTTGAATGAACTTTTGTATTTCTGCGGTGTCAGTTGTAATATCTCCCTTTTCATTTCTAATTGAGCTTATTTGAATTTTCTCTCTTGGTGAATCATGTTAATGGTTTATTAATTTTGTTTATCTTTTCAAAGAACCAGCTTTTTATTTCATTTATCTTTTGTATTTTCTTTTTGTTTCAATTTCATTTAGTTCTGCTCTGCTCTTGGTTATTTCCTTTCTTCTGCTGCATTTGAGTTTGGTTTGTTCTTGTTTCTCTAGTTCCTTGAGGTATGACCTTAGATTGTCTGTAGAGTGAAGAGACAACTTATGGAATGGGAGAAAATATTTTCAAATCACATATCTGACAAGAAGTTAATATCTAAATAAAAGGAACTCAACTCAATAGTAAGAAAACTAAAAACTCCAAAAAGATATACAAATGGCTCACAGATATATGAAAAATGGTCAACATTACTAATAATTAGGGAGATGAAAATTAAAACTGTAATGAAATTGTATCCCACACCTGTTAGTATGGCTATTATCAAGAAAAAAGTAACAAATTCTGGTAAGGCTGTGGAGGAAAGGTAACCTTCATGGGAATGCAAAGTAGTACAGCCATTATGGACAGTTGTATGGAAGTCCATCAAAAAATTGAAAACAGAACTACATCCTACATCCTATCCTAGGATCTAGTAATCCCACTTCTGGGAATATATCCAAAATAAATGAAATCAGTATGGTGAAGAGGTATCTGCACCCCATGTCCATTACCGCATTATTCACGGTAACAAAGACATGGAATCAATCTAAGTGTTCAATAACAAATGAATGGATAAATACACTGTGACAAACACACACACACACAATGCAACACTACTGAGCCTCAACAAATAAGGAAATTCTTCTGGCATCGTAGATAAACCTGGAGGACTTACACTAAGCAAAATATGTCAGGCTCAGAAAGACAAATGCTGCATGATCTCACTTACATGTGGTATCTGAAAGAGTGAAACTCATAGAAGCAAAGTGTAGAATGGTGGTTCCTACAAGCTGACAGTGGGGGTGGAAGGAATAGAGACATGTTGCTCAAAGGGTACAGAGTTTGAGTAAGGATGAATAAGTTCTAGGGATCTATTTATTGCATAGTGAGTTAATAATAATATATTGTATGCTTAAAAGTTGCTGAGCAAGTAGATCCTCAATATTCTCACCACACATTCACACACAACAAAAAATAACTATGTGTGATGATGGATATGTTACCTATCCTGATTGTGGCAAATATGTTAATTATCCTGATTATGGCAATCATTTCACAATGTATACATCTATCAATACATCATATTGTACACTGTGTATATAAGCTATTTTTATTTGTTAACTGTACCTCAATAAAGCTGGAGAGAATAAAGAAAAAAAAGATACTTGATGAGTTATCTAAAGAAAAAAGAAATTGAGGCATTCGAGACAGAGAAGAATTAAGACTTCCTAGATATTCCTTGAATATGGTTTTGGTTTTGGAGACAGATACTTATGTGAAAAATAAAAATGTAAATAAATTACAATCTCAAGTAAAATTATCTAAAAATTGAAGAAAAATATAAAATATTTGAGAAAAAAATAGCAATACAACAATAAAAATAATAAACATTTAAAACAGCATTATAACAACTATTTAGATAGTATTTACATTGCCTTAAGTATTATAAGTATTCTGGAGATGATTTAAAATATACAGGAGAATTTGCATAGGTTATATGAAAATACTGTATTATTTTATATGAGAGTGTGAGCATCCACAGATTTTGGCATCCATGACAGTCCTGGAACCAGGACCCTACAGATACTGAGGGACAACTATACATAAATTACCATTCATGTGTACTTGACAAATAGATTTCTTCAAGGACTCATAAAGTTTATATAAAATAATACAAGGGTATAGTTAGGCAAAATGAAAATGAAATCCAAGAATGAGGAAAAAAAGTGAGAAATGATTTTCAATGCTTATTTTATATGCTAAGTCAATGCACACACATATACACAAGCACAAATGAAAGCTTAGCATCTGACATTGGATATGCTTAGGATGGCACTTCTACCCCGCCTTAGTAATCAAGGAAAAGACTCAGATTTTCTTAGAATAGACTAAAAAAATGAAAATGATTCAGCATAGATACTTTTTAATTTTTCTCTACAAACTATGTATTTCTTGGTAAACTTAACTTCTTAAGTTGTAGACCTACTTTTGATGCCAATCAGGGCTGCATATGGCAACAGCGAATCCTTGCTATGTGAAAACCAACTGATAACAAATGTCACCACTATTCTTCAACTGCTTGTTGAAAGTTGAAGAAAGAGTCACATAAAATTGGTCAGTTAATAGGGTTGAAAAAAAAGAATCATATAATATTGGGCTGAAAATGAATAAATGGCTAGGGGTTATTCTGAGTGACAACTTTGCAATGTTGATGTTGATTACATTGTTAATTTAGTAAAAAAAAAAAGTGCTTGAAATTAATATCATAAAGAATACACATCACCTTACTTCCAGAGCACCAGAACAAATGTTCTGTTTATTGACAGGTATGTAAAAATGGGATGGGGGGGGCAGAAGGCATGAGGCGTATTGCGAATCTGAAGCCACTATACCAGAGATACAAATCTGAAAACATGTATGTTCATCTTATTTTAATGATTTTTCTTTAGATAGAAACAAAGTAGGTTCTCTTGCTTAAATGGTCAATTTGGGGCTTCTTGCATTAGTTTGGCCAAACCCATGTGAGAAAAATGTAGCCCACAGTGTCTGGATGGGAGGTAATTTTTATCCAGCACCTGGGCAACAAACCATGATGTGAATGCAAATCCTCATTGAATGATTACATGTATAGCACTGCCTGTGTTTTCTAAGCACTCTTCTAGTCCTATTCATACAGAAAGTGATCAAAACAGGTGACATATTTTGCCCTGGTAACATAATGGAGCTTAAATCCTAGAGGTAGAATATAGAAAAAGTAAAGTATATGATATGTTAGGTGATAAATGCTATAGAAAAAAATAGAGTTAATCAAAATGCCGGAGACTTGTGTTCAATTTTTAAGACAGTAGTCAGGGAACGTTCTCTGAAAAACTGTCATTTAAGCAAAGATTGTCATAAAGTGAAGCAATAAGTCATGGGATAACTGGGTGGAAATAACTGGGCTCGTATGTGCCCGGAATACTAGGAAATCCAGTGCGGCACACTGAGTGAGGAGATGAGTATTCTGAGATAAGCTCACGGGGTTGAGGGCAGGTAGTAGGCCACATCGGACTGGAGTTCTATGCTTCCTTATAGTAGCCACTAGCAACTTTTGGCTAGCTTTTGAGTGCTTGAGTGCTTGTTTAAATTGAGGTATGTATTAGATGGAAAATATACACTGACTATGTAGTATAAAGGATGATAATTATCTCATTAATACATTTTATATGGATTACATAGCAAAATGATAATATATTGTATTTATTGGGTAGAATAAAACATATTTAAATATTAATTGATCTGCTCCTTTTTATTTTTTAAGTGGTTACTAGAAAAAATTGTGGCTACTGGCTGGGTGTGGTGGCTCACAACTGTAATCCCAGCACTTTGGGAGGCCGAGATGGGTGGATCACCTGGGATCAAGAGCTCGAGACCAGACTGGACAACATGGTGAAACCCCGTCTCTACTAAAAATACAAAAATTATCTGGGTGTGGTGGCTTGCACCTGTCATTCCAGCCACTCTGGAGGTATAAGGCTGAGGAACAGCAATGCTACTACATTTAGGACATCCATTTATTCATTTCTCTCTCTGTTTTCTCTCTTGGGTTTTGTTTGTTCATTTGTTTGTTTTTGTTAACCTCTATTTATGGTAACCAAAGGGAAAGAGAATATTGTCTTTAATATTTCAAAAAAAGAACTTCTTTCAAAAAATGTATTTCTATATTACAGCTACTCAGGAGGCTAGGGCAGGAGAATCGTTTGAATCTGGAGGCAGAGGTTGCAGTGAGCCAAGATCATGCAAAGCAAGACTCTGTCTCAAAAACAAAAAACAAAACAAACAAACAAACAAAATAAAACTGTGGCTACCTTTATATTTCTAT